CGTTCTCGAAGTATCGAGCTAGGCGTCCCGAAAAAGCCGCAACAGTATCATGATATAGCCCCTGGCCTTATGATGTCGGGGGCCTCGGTAAGGTCTAGTATAAAATAAAAAACTGCCTTTGCAGGGTTCGTAGCCCCGGGACCTACCACAGGTTAATCCGGCCCTGCATGTACAGTCAGAATTCTAACTGTATTTCACGCGAAGAAGAAAATTTAAAGTTTCTAAAACAATTGGAAGTTAGAAAAGTTCTAATGCACGGTCTATGTAAATCACCTTATATCAACGAATACCATGGATAGAGCATCTGTAATTTAATCTTAATAATAGTTGTACTTACAGTATAATTTTATTGTACCATCTGTTTCACCCAGTGAGTTCTTCGCTACGCACTTGTAAGCGCCAAAGTCTGCCGTGTTGACATTTCGAATTGTAAGTTTCATATGAACTTTGTATGCATTGTCCATCAAAATCAGCACATATTTTGTCCCTGAAATATAAATTAAATTTATTGTTTAATTTATTTGTTTTCTTAATATTGTTCACATTAAAAGTGTCTTTGTGAATATATTTCGTAGAAAAATAACTGTTTGCTTTAAAGACCCAAGTTAGAACTAATCATGTATCGCACGATCGCATGTATGATAATAAAAGGCAAAATGTGATGGGCTTTGTGATAATTTGGAGATTGAATGTTTTCATACATTATATCGCACTTTTAGATGGAGTTTGTTGTAACGTATTTCGAAAATCCTCTCTTACTGTTACATCATCCGAGCCTACATGTTAGCATTGTAAATCGGAATAAAATTAATGCTCTTCTTCACGGCATCCACACTAAAGGTAAACCACGATGCAACCAATAAGACCATTCAATTGCGCAAGAAGCTGGCAAGAGAACAGAACAATATGCTGTCAGCCCCTGGTAGATGTTAGATCATTCAGTAAAAAGAACGCCCGGGTTGCCCGTATACACTACACAATAATACATAGCAGACATAAATACACACATACAGAGCGCGTTGTTCGGCCTGGGAATTTAATACCCAGCCTAACTTGACAATCCGTCACAGCATCTATTGGACGTTCATCCTTGAATAGTAATTCGTAAATTAAACGTTTCAAGACAGGATAAAGCTTTTGGGAGATTCAGTCGTGTTGCTTGGCATATCAAACCATGGCAAACTGACAAAGACGCTTAGTCGATTTTGGAGGCAACTTCATTAAGGTCAGTCACTTGCCCAAATGTCCAATTCCAGTAGCGTTTGGTCCTATTAAGAGTTTTGCAGCAAAATCTCCCATCAAATGCACTTCAAACGTGCATCGAGACTTGATGGTGCAAACGGCTCGAACTTTTTATTGATACCATAATCGTCCACAAGAACTATGCAGAAATATTACAATATATTGCTTTAAACAATCTGCCCGTGCTACTATACTCTGTGTACGGATAACTATTTGAGCGAAAATAAGAAAATAAACCGTTGCAGAGACTTTCGCTTGTAAAGCACCCCGAATTTGTGAAAAGCTACTAAACAAAACTTTATCTGAGAATACTCAACTGTGGATTGTTTTCGAACTCTTTAGCAAGAGCATAAGAGAAAACATACCTCAAAACCGTGCAACGACCTTACAAGTTTTGCAATACAGGATCGTAACGATAATTTAAATGATACATGTGTAAATGACAGCAAGGGTGTTTGAGGTAGGGTAACCATTGAATATGTCCGGAAGAACTAATGTCGCAAGTTACAGAACTCCACCGTTGAAGTTCAAGCGTGTCCAATTTGACATATATTTTGTGCATTAATGAAGATCTATGGGTGCCAAATGTGCAGATTTAACTAGTAAGTAAATATTAATATTATTCCAACATGCCTCAGCCAACATGGTCGAAGGAGAAAATAAGGAGCTTAACCATCTGGCCACTCTTGAGAAGAAAGATCACTTCACTCAAACCGGCGCTACACGATGCGTCGAACATTCGTTCCAACGTTGGACCGAACATTTGAGTCAAAAAGTTCGGCAGTTCGTGCGGCAAATGTATCTGCTGCACGGTGTGTCGACTGCTTGAAGCAAAATTCCTTTTGAATTGTGGTTCAAACGTTTCTCTACATTCGTCAATATGCAGGATACTGCTGACGCTGCAGTTATAGCCGCAGCGGTGCGAGTTTTTAGTTGTGTGAATGGTTTACTCAACGTCATTTTTAAACTTATTTTTTAACACTTTGTATTAATAGTTATCAAAATTTTGTCGAAATTCTATTAAAGTAAGTTTGAACAAGAACGCACGCAATTCTGATTAATTTTCCTGACTGCGTGTACTTATTAGGATATTCTTATCTTTCCAGGGTCTCAAAGTGTAAAGTAGAAATTTTTTGTAAAAAACAGCGCCATCATCAGATTTAAAATTTACACAAACTCATGATTGGTAAAAATCAACCTTCTTTTAGGTCTTTGCCTTCTTGAAGGGCTTTGCCTAGAGACAAATTTAAGGTTTAAATTTTCTAAATTTTTC